GTTTTATGTTTCCTTTCTTTTTGCCCCTCTCGCACTTGCCTTTAATTTGTTTCCACCTCAACAACGCCTTCGTGTCAGTCAATCAAAGTGTCGCTCTTTTTGTGTTGATAGGCGTGGTGATGGCGATGCCAATTCATCGAAAAAAACATCTCTCAGGCCAACAAGTCTGGTGCTGAAGCGTGCATCATCATCATCATCACGACGCCCTCGCACAACGAGCGCTTCTACCACCACCACCACCACCACCACCTCGCCTCGTGGAGGAGGTGTGTGGACTGCTGGCGGTGGCGGTGGTGGTGGGCGAGGGGGCGCCTTTACGACGCCTGCAACTCCGCTTCCACCGTCCTCCTCACAACACTTGCTTATCAATTTTGAGGCAAGTCTTGTTTTACCCCCACCTCAAAAAAAAAACAAGAAAAGAGGAAAAACGTCCGCTAATGCTTTTGCCAAAATGAGAGAAACTTTAAGGTCAGTGCGTAACAAACACCTGGAAAGCATTCTCTGGCAAACAAAAGAGGTGAAATGGACAAAAAGGTGCAACACCACCAAAATACCGCCCTCCCATCTTTGAAAGGGCGCACACCTTTTTGTAACGACTGGAAAAGACAAATCCATCACTCAAAATGCCACTTTCACATCAGCGTGGGAGGGAGGGAGGGGCGAGGGGATGGGAGGAGGAAGGTGAGACAGTTTACTCCGTCCAGTCGCCACCTTCCCACGCCAATGCAACTGCTGGCTGCATCGTCGGTGCAGTTCTCACCCGCACACCCACACACGAAGGCACTTTAGAGGCGGTTGGGGCAGCAGTGGTGGCCTCACGCGGATGACAGCGCGAGTGCCACTTCCCACTCCTCCACTCACTCACTCACTCAGTTCGTCTGTCGGTCAGTCGAGTGAGCAGTTGACGAAAGGCGTTGCGTGATGCGGTGCCAGAGGATGCGCGAGGAAGGCGAGGTTGTGATTACTTTGCATCGCTCTCTCTGTGTGTGCGTGTTTTGCACCCTCCGTTCTGCCCTCCGATTGGCTGACTCCCCCAAACCACTTCTATTTGCCAATTTTTTTTTAATTAAAAGGTTGACTTGTAATTTAAGTTAAGCAAAATAGACATTTTCGGCTCTCTTCTTGTCGCCATGGCGAGGTGTTGGAGTAGTGAAATGGTGAGGTGAGGGCTTCAAGGCGGTGTTCGTCCTAGTCTCTTTTTTTCTCCTACTTCTATTTTCTCCTTTGCCAAATCACTTTCTTCTTGACTTAATTGGATTGAAAAGTGAGAGAGAGAGAGAGAGTTTCACTACTCAATGCCTATTTGTAAATTCGCATCGAGTGTGATTTGCGTGCACCACTACTTTGTGTGAGGTGGTTTGTTTTGTTTTGTTTTGTTTGGTTGGTTTTTTTGTGGTCAGCCATCGCAGTGGTGAGTCAAGCTGTGTTTTTTGTTTCTTTTTTTGGTTATCTGGCAACTGCTAATAATCGTCATAGATGAGAGCTGTCTGCCTCATCACACCCTCCACATCTACATGCCGATGGGAGGGCGCTACTGACATTTTTTAAGTAGTCGCGTGAGGCACCGCTAACCCGTGTCTTGTGTGTTTCAGTCTTGTCTTTTTTTGCTTTACGCACGTCTAGGAGAGTATGCTAAATGGACGAATCCCTCCCAAGGGAGTGGTTGAGGGTTTTTCCTTGGGCATTGGTGCCAGTGGTTCCTTCTTTCCTGTTCACGTAAAATTGCCTGTTGTGGCGTACTTCTTCCAACTCTCCGACAACGACGACGACGGTGCCACTCCCTCACCCTACCTCGGTCATGTCGATCTCACTGGTCTTGCCAACAAACGCGGCTATCATGTACCGCGCAAGGGTTTCATACAGGTTTGTTGTGGTCTCTCTCGCTCTCGCTGTCTCCGCTTCACATTCCTCCTCTTATTCTTGTCACTGCCTTCGGTTAGTGTGTGTGCGTGTGTGTGGCTTGTGAATGCAAACCTCAACGTCACACACACCCATACCTAAAGAATGAGTGGATTGACGTGGCCTCATCACGCGCCACCCCACACGGTCACTCTTGACCGCGTTGACGAGAGGCAGCAGTGCTGACACCTTCGCCCTACAAATGGCTTTTCTCCTTTTTGCTTTGCAGTTGACGCTCTTCAACCCGTCGCAGTCAGTGCTGAAGGTGTTTGTCATTCAGTACAATTTGGAGGACATGCCTGCCAACAGTCAGACATTCTTACGACAAAGAACGCTCTACATGCCCACTTCTGACGCCGATGTCGGCGATGGTGGTGGTGGTGGTGGGCCAAATGTGGCCTCCGATTTGGTGTCGTGTGTGCTTAGGAGGGACAAAGTGGGCAGTCTGAAGGAGCATCGTCCGCCTTCCGGTGGTGGTGGTGGTGGTGGCACTTCGGAGGCACTGCCCATCTTTCTGCGCTACGTGGTGCATCTACGGTGAGGAATTTTGGTGGTGAAAAAGGCCAACAGAGGGTAGGTGGGTGGGTGGTGAGAGGAGGGGGAGTGAGGAGGTGAGGTGTGTTGAAATGCGTTCGCGTCTCTTTTCTCACGCTGCCTTGACACTGTCATCCTTCACCTCTCTCCGACTCATCAATTGAGGAGTCGCGCTCTGAGAAGGCTTATTTGGCACTTCACTTCTCAAGCGGCTGCTGCGCACACTGCTGTCAAGGCTATCAGCACCACGTAGATGCGTGTCCACGCTGGTCTGTGTTCACTTGCCGCCTCTCTGTGTCTCCTGTGAAGGTGGAGGAGAAGGAGGAGGAGTTAAACAAGCACTGTCTATTGCACCCACACTCCACTCTCCTCTCCCTGTCACTCATCATCACATTGTTTGCATTGTGTTAGTAGTAGTTGTTGCTGTTGTTGTAGTCTTTAAGCGGTCCTTCAACTTTCGCACACTCTATATGTGTTGGCTTTGCTTGTGCAGCATCTGCACGACTCATCACCTCTCCTAATACCCATTTTGACAGGTTCCATACAACCAAATCAAACAACCTCTACCTACACACTGATATTCGTCTCATCTTCGCACGCGACACCTTCGAGTTCGATCCGCGTGTGGCCACTTACCGAATGCACGCCTTCATCGACGGTCCCACCAATCCACGATATTCACCCAAAACCTCCTAATCACTTGCACAATTGTGCGTGGAAATGCAGTCTTTCCCTCCCTCCCTCCCTCCCCGCC